GGCGCCTAGCATTTTGCCAGAAGGAGTGAGGCCAGCGAGCCTTTAAGATGATGAAAATTAAGTTAAGCTGTGTATAATTGCTGTGACTGGATGATGCTGGGTTGAAACAGGCTGTGTATTCAGTTGTATATAGACCCTTGCAATAGGGCGGCTCCTGCTGCCTCCCGGGCGCTACTTTTGAGTTCTCCCGGAGTTCCCTTTGAGTTCCGGTTCAGCTCTGGCAGGAGAGTTCGTGTTGGTTGGAAAAATTCAGGTGGAGGGAGGTTGGGTTGGTGTATGGAGTTCCTGGAAGGACCGCGTGGGTGGCCTTCAAGTGAGTTCGGAAAATAAATTTTGTTCCTGCTTGAGTGGCTCCTGATTTGTGCCCAGCCAGACTGCAGCAATGCGGCTATAAATAGACACATCAATGCAGCATCCCACCTGTCAATCACTCTACTCCCTCCCTTCCACAGATGAGATGGATGGGTTAATTCAATTCTGGTAAGACTAGAATTTGAGTGCTTTGACTGATGCAAAGCCTAGTTCCTGGAAGACCAGCAGGAATGGGTCAGAGCTGTCTCCTAGATAGTGATGGGTCAGGAACTAGGAAAGGCAAGGGGGCAGCAGGACCTTCCAGGAAGGAGTCTAGCAGGGTGTGAAGTCAAATGGAAGGCACTGAGGCACTGGAATGGGGAGGTGGATTTGGGTGCTATAAGTGACAATAGAAGTGAGAACCTGTTCCAGGAACCAAGACCTTCCAAGCAAGAAAAGCAGAAAACAAGTGACTCCTGAGTCATGACATCTATTCTTTATGAAGTAGATAGATGCTTGTCCCATCCTTGAGAACCTCGCATAGTGCCCTTGAATAGAAAATTCAGAATGAGATTAGGGAGAGAAACTTTGCATCTCCATCCTCCCTAGTTAAATCTTTCCTCTTTAGCCTCAGGAATTGACAACAGAGACCTCATGAAGGCAACAGGAGACTAAAAAAGTGCTTTAAAACAAAAACTTTGTATTAGTTCACCTGTATGTGCATATCTATACATAATGACCACCTTTCCATGTTATAAATGTACATCCACAATATTATTTGTAATGGGTGCATATTTTCTATCATAAGGATAAATAAAAATTTACCCAATTAATCCCCTATTGTAGGACATTTAGGTTATTTCCATTTTTTCATAATACAAACAACACTGTTAGCAAAATCTTTGCACACATCAATAATTTTTTGCTTAGGAGAAATTCCCCAGTGTTAGGATTTACCAATGAAACTGTCACTTACATCTTTAAAGCGTTCTTTGGCTTTTTTTTTTTTTTAACTTTTAGCTTTAGGGATTCTTTTTTCATTTTGAAACCTGTAAGAATCTGCTTATCATGATTGGAGATGCTGTGAGCTAGCTAACCCCTGTTTAAGTACCCAAAGTTTTTATTATAAATGGTTTCAATGAATCCTCTACAAGAGAATTCCTTGTGATGCTATGTTGAACACATGGTCTCCCATAAATTCTTAGTAATTCAGGGTGGGCTCTCTTCCCTCAGACTCAAAGTACTAATCATCTCTAATCCAACCATCTTCTCTAGGTAGATGTCCTCCAAGCCCAAGCTGCTCTGGCTGCCCTGTGGACATCCCCCTACAATTCTATTCACATACACACACCTCTCCATCCTCCCTAGTTAAATCTTTCCCATCTTTTTTACCTCAACTAGTCCTCTGGGTCTTCCTTTGATGCATCAGGTTATGATTTCACATTCCAGGACCAGGTTGCTGCTGCATCTTCCCTGGGGGCCTCCCTCCCTATTAGGCCTCGGAAAATAGGGAAGAAAATGTCTTTGCACTGCAATGATCACACTAATTTTGAGGATCTCCCTAACATTTGAGTCCATTCAGGAACCTTCTGAGCTCCCTCACATGCCTCAGTTCCACATTCAAATCTCTGCTCAATTTTGTTCAGGGGTCCCATTCTGACTTCTCTCCTCAACAAACAGTTCCATAGCTGGCTAGGGCACACGTCCTGCCTCGACGAAGGAGTGGCGCGCTCTGCCGAGGCCGCGGCGCCGCGGAGAAATCTAAACACTTAGCGGGATTCCCCCAACCCAG